GAATAATTTATTAATTGGTTGGATTTTTTGTGCCAAACAATTTGATCTTATAAATAAAATTATTAATGTTTTTTTTTTTTTAAATTTTGTTTGGTTCAAGATTTTTTAATCTTTTTGCGTTTCAATTGGTTTATGATACTTTGAGAAGAAAAAGAAATTTGAAATTGCAAGGAGTTTTCCTAAAGAATTGAAAAGTCACCAATTTTAAGAGACATACTTATAGATCACATTAATTATTTTCAAAGAAGCTTGGAAGACCAAATTTAGATATCCTATTTCTTCAATGATGTTGCTTCAAATTGTGTTAAAAGTCAAGAATACCCATAATTTATCATCAAAATTTCCACTCTTTGTGCTAACTTTTTTGTGTCTTATTCCTTCGACCTTATCTCCAATCCTTATCAACCAGCAAGAAACTTAACAAATTTTTTTAATTCTTTTTAATTTAGAAGTACTCTTTGGGTTGAAGTTGAGAACTTGTATACCTATTGGAGGATTGAATAAAAAACATTAATCTGGTTTCTCTTAATCTCTCTGTGTATGTTTTGTCTAATTTTATATTAATTTATCAATTTATTAGTTTTTTAGCAATGTTGCATCAGAATATATTATCTCATTTCTTTATTCAAAAGTTGAATTCAATGAAAATCAGATATTAACTTAGTACTTTTGATTTAATCTTCAATAAATTTTAAGTATATTATTTATTAATTGCTAACAAAGGAAATTTATTGCTATATTTTTGTGTTTTGAATTAACTTAGACTTCAGCAACTTATAAGATTATTAGTATTATGAAGTAACAATTAGGAAAAAGACAACTATTTATATGATGACAAGACTAAGTTTAAAGCAAAAGATTAAGTCTTATTTATTTTTTGTGAGTTTGATTTAATTTTATGTTGAATTTGTTTAATTATCTATTGGTTCATCTATTAATTTATTTGTTTGATTTAATTCAATAATTTTTTTATACGAATATAATATTTAATTATAATTATAATTTTTTTGTATTTATAACTTTATAATAAAATTAATAATCAGATAAGGATATATAATACAATGTGATGTAGTAGTCTATAAATATGGTGTATGGAAATATGAAACTCCACAACCTTTCCTTCATTTTTGTAGACAGAAAACATGAGCCCTCTTCGTATCCTAATTTCACTCTTTTTGCCTACTTTCTTTCTCTTCTCATGCTCCTTCATACCTGTTGTGCTATCTAAAACAAGTATCCAAAGCCAACGCCTTGATGACCAAAGATCTGCTCTGGTTCAGTTGCAGCAACATCTTTACTTTTCTCCTAATTTTACTTTTTCTTCCAAACTTGAGCTTTGGGATCTCAAAACAGATTATTGCTCTTGGAAAGGAGTCACGTGTGATGGTCTTGGTTATGTTATTGGCCTCGATCTTAATTACAAAAACCTTTCAGGAAGCTTTCATTCCATTTTCAATCTCCATCATCTTCAAAATCTTAATCTTGCTGGAAACAATTTTAATACCACTTTGTATCCCTATGAGTTTGGAGGACTTCCAAATTTGACTCATTTAAATCTCTCAGACTCATGTTTCCATGATCAAATTCCAATGGCAGTCTCACACTTAACAAGGTTAGTGTCTCTTGATTTATCTAATCAAGATTATTGCTATTGGAGAAATTATCAAAGTGTTGATTCATGATGATGATTATTATCCTATTCTAAAGTTAGAGAAACCAAATTTCAACTCATTAGTCAAGAATTTGATGTTTCTCGAAGAGCTCCATTTGGATGGTGTGAACATTTCAACTCAAAGTACAAAATGGTGTGAGATCATATCGTCAGCACTTCCAAATTTACGTGTGTTAAGCATGTCATCCTGTCGTTTGACAGGTCCACTTTGTTCTTCCTTCTCCAGACTCCATTTTTTGTCCAAACTTAACCTTGACAATAATCCAGTCTCTTATTTGCCTCCAATTTCTTGGAAATTTCCTCTCGACGATTGGTTTCTCTCAGTCTAAGGGATTGCAATTTGTGTGGGCATTTTCCAACTGAAGTTTTCTCATTGCCCAAAATGCAAAGCATTGATATTTCAGAAAATGAAAATCTCATGGGTCATTTGCCAGAATTTCGATCAACAACAATTTACATGTCTTGTCACTTTCCAGGACAGAATTCAGTGGAGAATTACCAAAATCAATTGGTAATCTTAGGTTATTGACAAAATTAGATCTTGTTAATTGCTCTTTCTTTGGACCCATTCCATCATCGGTTGCAAATCTTACTAATCTTGTGGAATTGGATCTATCAGATAATGGTTTCAATGGTTTAATCCCTCCATTTCATAGATCTGGAGTTCCAAATCTTGCAATTCTCAATTTGGGCTATAATCATTTAAGGGGATCCATTCCTAACTCAATCCTTCAACTCCCACGGCTTGAATCACTTTATATTGGCTATAACAACTTTGGTTCTATGAAGCTTGACATGTTCTTTCAACTCAAGAACTTACGGTCTCTCGATCTATCCAATATGAGCTTGTTAATTGGGAGCGACAACAAAAGCCTTATATTTCCCCAATTGGAGGAGTTATACCTAGTGTCGTGCAACCTTACTGGATTTCCAGAATTCATCAAAACACAAGGCAAGTTGGCTTATCTAGATCTTTCTAACAACCAATTAGCAAACTCCTCCTTTTCAATTGAAAGCAACAACAAAAGCTTTACTATTCCCCAATTAGATTATCTTAGCCTACGATCTTGCAACCTTACAGAATTTCCTGAATTCATCAAAATTGTGGAAGACCACTCTGCTAGATTTAGACCTTTCTTTCAATGCCATTAATTTTTCTAAAGAGCTTCCTTTCGGTGATGCAAACTCCTCCTTTTCAATTGAAAGCAACAACAAAAACTTTACTTTTCCCCAATTATATTATCTTAGCCTACGATCTTGCAACCTTACAGAATTTCCTGAATTCATCAAAACACAAGACAAGTTGACTACCCTATATCTTTCTAACAACCAAATCCATGGTTTTGTGCCTAATTGGTTGTGGAAGACCACTCTTCTAGATTTAGACCTTTCTTTCAATGCCATTGATTTCCCAAAACAATTTCCCTTTGGTGATGCAAACTCTTCGTTTCCAATGCTGTGGGCGTTGATTTTAAGATCCTGTAATATAAGTACATTTCCAGAGTTTTTAAAGAGTCAAGAGAACTTAGAATCTCTTGACCTTTCAAACAACAAAATAAGTGGTGCAGTACCAACCTGGTTGTGGAAGAAAAGTTTGGGTTATTTGTCTCTTTCTAACAATCATCTCTCATCCTTGGACCAATTTTTGCCCAATCAGTCTCTAACTTCTTCACAAGGCTCTTTCCTCAGACCTATTTGCAAGTTGAGTCAACTTTATCTGTTCAATGCATCTTATAACAATTTGAGTGGCACAATTCCAAGTTGCTTAGGCAATATCAGTACTCTCTATTTGTTGGACCTTCAAGGAAATCACTTTAGCGGAATCTTACCAAATTTTGCAGAAGCAACCCAACTATGGACACTCAAAGTTAGTGAGAATAGATTGGAAGGGAAGTTGCCGAAGTCACTAGCCAAATGCACCCAACTCGAAGTTTTGGATGTGGGAAACAACATGATGTATGATACATTCCCTTTTTGGTTGGAAAAATTGCCTGCACTGAAGGTTCTGATACTGCAAGGGAATAGATTTTATGGTCAAATTAAACATTCGAAACATGAAAATGGCTTTCTGGCGTTGGATGTACTTGACATTGCGTCTAATGAATTTTCTGGTGAACTATCCATTGATTTCCTTCAAGCTACTCAATTAAGATCACTCAAAATCAGTGGGAATAAATTGGAAGGGAAGTTGCCAAGATCATTAGCCAATTGCACAAAACTTGAGGTTTTAGACCTTGGAAACAATATGGTTCGTGATACATTTCCGGTTTGGTTGGAGAAGTTGCCTGCCTTGAAGGTTCTCATTCTACGGGCAAATAGATTTTATGGTACAATTCAGAATTTCGAAATGAAAGGTGGTTTTCCAATGCTACGGATATTGGACATTGCTTCCAACAGTTTTTCAGGTGACTTATCCATAGAATTTTTGCAATGTTTGAGGGCAATGACTTTGATGACTGACGGCAACAAAGCAAAACTAGATTATATTGGAGAGCCGTACTATCAAGACTCTGTGACAATTGTTAATAAAGGGATTGTAATTTTTTACAAGAAAATCTTAACCATTTTTACTTGTCTTGACCTTTCCAACAACAGTTTCCGTGGGAGAATACCAGAAGAAATACAATTTCTCAAATCACTCATAGTGCTAAACTTATCCCAAAATAGCTTCTCTGGCCAAATTCCATTAGCACTTGAGAACCTAAAAGAGCTTGAGTCTTTGGATCTCTCACAGAACAAACTTTCCGGGAGGATTCCACCTCAACTTACAAGTCTAACTTTCCTGGAAGCACTAAATCTGTCTTACAACCAACTTGAAGGGAGCATACCTCAAAGCAACCAATTCATTACATTTTCAAATGATTCTTACAAAGGGAACTCAAGATTATGTGGGCCACCTTTGTCAACGAAATGCAATGTAGATTTTGGTCCAGTGTCCCCTACTAGGGAAGGTGTAGATTCAGGGTTTGATGGTATACCTGTCTGGAAAATTGGATTGATCGGTTATGGTAGCGGATTGGTCATTGGGTTATGTATTGGTTATACAGTGCTGAATGAATTGGGAAACAAATGGCTTGACAAATTTGAAAGGAATGGGAAAAGGAACCGGAGAAGGATCAAATTTAATGTTTCAAAATAACAGGTAAGCATTTCCTTTACAAACTTGGCGAATCTTTTTAAATTGAAAAGATAGCTTGCTGCAAATTATTATATTTTAAAAATTTTATATCCTCATTTTTCTCTCCAGACAAAGTTCACTATAATATAATATTTGTTCTTGTAGTAGTCATATTTATTGTCAATGAGTATGTTATAATTTCGTGTTACAATGTCGCAGTACAGGAGGAACCTGAAACAACATAATCTTGAAAGACCAAGCTCAAGCAAAGGTCCTCTGTTGTTTAATTAGTAGCATACATGTTGATTCAATGCACCAAAAAGATGAAAACAGAATGAGATTGTATGAGACTAAGACCTTGATCTTGATAGATATGGAGATGGAGTGAGATATGATTGTAAAACCTTCTCAAGATTTCTAGTCCTCTTTGAGCCAAAGCATTTTGCCCTTTTTGTCTGACATGGCTTATTTCGGATCAGAAATCCAGGTTTGCATCTCTATTTCCCATGATAGGTTTGTCCCAAACCTTTTATAGCTCGTAATAATTTCCTTTAGTATTTTCTTCATGTTAATACAATCTCATCCTTTTTCTCTTTACTTCTGCACTCTCACTCACACACAGACAAAGAAAAACGTTGTGTTGTAAGCTCTAGTGTTATACAGTTGCCAATCTTGAGAAGAGTGAGGGCAGTACAAAGCAACTTTTAACAACCTAAAGGGTATGAATGGATCAAAATTATTTGTGATGGCCTAAATTTGAAATAATAACATTCTTAAATATTTATGTGGTCTAGATTAATTTATTAAATTTAGCATTTAAGAAAATGATAAAAGCTTCTTATGAAATGAAAAACTTGATTCCTTCTAGCAAAATCGAGTAACTTCATCCTTATAATTTTCAGGCCAACGGTTTGAGAAGATACCAGGGCCTACAGCCTGTAGTTTGTTACATATTCCATGGGAAAGAAAACATGAATCGCCAGAAAACAGTTATAAAAGACCAAGTTTGAGCAAAGATCCTTTGTTGTTTTATTAGTAGCATACATGCTGTATCAATACACCGAAAAAGTAGAAGATAGAATGAGATTGTTTGAGACCAAGTCCTTGATCATGATGGAGATGGAGATGGAGTGAGATATGATTATAAAATCCATTTCAAGGTATCTGGTCTATTTGTCATTCTTTGAAGACAAAGCATTTTGCCCTTGTTGTCTGACATGGCTAATTTTGTATAAAAATCCAGGTATGCATCTCTATTTCCCATGATAGGTTTTTCCTAAACCTTTTATTACGATTGGAAGCTAATATCATTTTGAATGTATTGTGTTCTTTTAGGCAGTACTGGAAGTGCTTCTTCATACAGGAATTTATCCTGAAGCTGTAAATAGTATTGTATATGACGGATTCTTTCAAGAAATTATAGATATTTGGAGACATATGAAGAACATGCTTAGCCACAATTCATGTTTCAGAATAGCAGGTAAGCATTTCCTGTAGAAACTTGGGAAATCTTTTTAAATTGAAAGCTTGTTGTTGCAAATTATGATATTCTTTAAATTTCCTAACATCTTTTTTTCTCGCTTGACAATATTTACTATTATATAGTATTTGTTCTTGTAATAGTGATATTCATTATCAATGAGTCTGTTAAAATTTCCTTTTACAATGTCGCAGTGCAGGACGAACCTGAAGGGATTGAAATTTTTTATGAGAAAATCTAAACCATTTTTAATGGTATTGACCTTTCCAACAACAGTTTCCATGGGAGAATACCAGAAGAAATACAATTTCTCAAATCACTCAAAGTGCTTAACTTATCCTAAAATAGCTCTTTAGCCACTTTCCATTAGCACTTGAGAAACTAAAAGACCTTGAGTCTTTGGACCTCTCACAGAACAAACTTTCTGGGAAGATTCCTCCTCAACTTGCGAGTCTAACTTTCCTGGAAGCACTAAACCTGTCTTACGACCAACTTGAAGGGAGCTTACCACAAAGCAACCAATTCAATACATTTTCAAATGATTCTTACAAGGGGAATCCAAGATTATGTGGGCTGCATTTGTCGAGGAAATGTGATGAAGTTGGTGTTCCAATGCCCCTTCCAAAGAAAGATGTAGATTCATGGGTAGATGGCATATCTGTTTGGAAAATTGCATTGATCGGTTATGGTAGTGGATTGGTTATTGGTTTATGTATGGGATATACGGTGTTGAATGAGTTCGGAAACATATGACTGGACAAATTCAAAAGGAAAGGGCAAAGGAACAAGAGAAGCATCAAAATTCATGTTTCAAAATAGCTGGTAAGCATTCCTTTTAGAAACTTGGGAAATCTTTTTAAATTGAAAAGATAGTTGCTGCAAATTATTATATTCTTTAAATTTTGTAACCTCATTTTTTTCTCTCTTGACAAAGCTCAGTGTCATATAATATTTGTTCTTGTAGCAGTGATATTCATTATCAACGAGTCTGTTATAATTTCTTGTTATAATGTTGTAGTGCAGGAGAAACCAGAAACAAGATATGGTATGTAAGGAAAGGAGACAGGCATAACAACAAATAATCTTAAAAGACCAACATTGAGCAAAGATCCTTTGTTGTTAAATTAGTAGCATACATGCTGTATCAATGCACCAAAAAAGACGAAGACCAAATGAGATTGTTTGAGACTAAGTCCTTGATCATGATGGAGATGGAGATGGAGTGAGAATCCGGTCTATTTATCATTCTTTGAAGCCAAATCATTTTGCCATTCTTGTCTGGCATGGCTTATTTTGTATGAAAAAATCCAGGTATGAATCTCTATTTCCCATGATAGGTTTTTCCCAAACCTTTTATAGCTCATAATAATTTCCTTTAACATTTTCTTCATTTGAGTACAACCTCATTCCTTGTTTCTCCACTTCTACATTCGCACATAGACAAAGAAAAATGTTTTGTTGTAACCTCTAGTGTTATATTAAGCTGATGTCAATGTAGAGTAGACCTTGACTAAGAAAAAATAAATAACGGCAGTCCAAAGCAACTTTTGACAACGTAAAGGTATGAATGGATCAAAATTTTTTGTGATGGTCTAAATTTGAAAGAATAACATTCTTAAATTGTTATGTGGACTTGATTAATTCATTAATTTTAGCTTTTAAGAAAATGATAAAAGCTTCTTATGAATTAAGTTTTTGCAAATGAAAAACTTGATTGTTTCTAGCGAAATGGAGTAACTTTATTCTTATAATTTTCAGGCCAATGGTTTGAGAAGATACAAGGGCCTGCAGGTTGCTGTTTGTTACCTATTCCATGGAAAAGAAAGCATGGATTGCCAGGATACAGTTATACATTCTTTGTAAAGGCTTATTCTACTTATCTGTAACTTATGAGTTATTAAATTGCTGCTTCAGCTGCATCTTATGTGCGGTGACAGGTAAATGACCTTTTCCCCCCAACTTCAAGTCCTTGCATGAGAGGACATAGACTGCGTTGTGTAAAATGACTCGAAGTATGATAAAAATTTGTTGCAGGTGTCCAAAACCAAAGGTGGTCGCTTACTATGGAGCATCAACATAGATTGTGTAAGGAGCGACGAAAGGTCCTTTGTTGCTTGTGATGATGCACTTACATAAATTCACTTCCATATCATCAATAACAATATATAACTGTTCCCAAACACAGATTTGGTGGACAGCTATTGATTGTCTTAAAAAACAATTTGAGGGCAGATGTGGGGATAGTACATGTTTAAAGAGGACACAATAGGCAAAAGCAGAAACATAGGTAATTCAACGCGTTGCTTTGGTTCTATGAAAAAAACAGTGCAATAAAAACTGAAAAGGAGGAGGCATGCGTGTCACCTGTTTAATAAAAACTTGAAACATTTGCTAAGAGGATAACAAATTGATCAGGCGTCGAATACAAAATCAAGGTCTGCAAACTAGGGTGTGAATCATCTTCAGCAGAAGCTCAGGGCTTGAAATAGGGTGTCTCGCTCCTGCAACTAAATGAGATTATATTCCCTCTCGCTTTCTCATTTCATTCAGGTTGAGGAGAAGATGATTTAGTGAACGTAATTTGGTGAAGGGTTAGGGTTTAGTAAATAATTTGAGAAAGAAGTGATTTGGGGTTTTTTTTATTCTTCCAATAATTTGAACGATTAAGGTTTTTTTTTTTCCCCTTTTTGCTTCATATGACTACTATTCAAAGTCAACCTACTTGATTGCAAAGTAATACCCAATTTTTGCAGTGCAATTTTGTTTTAACTTTTTAATTAATGTCTGATTTGTTGATTTGGTGGTATAACATGGGTTTTGAGACGCCAGCTCCATTGGTTGAGAAGACAAATGCAGTAGTGGAGACATCTGTTGGCAAGTCAATCATTGAACATCGTAGGAGTTTTAATTACATCTCTTCTATAATTGCTGGTTTGTATTTTGAATTCATTTCATGGCTTGAAGCCATATGTTTCAATGTTGTGAGCGCCCTAACTCATTAGGATCACATGATTAGTAAAATACAAAATGGGAGAGAAAATGTATAACTGATTGTAGTTTGTAGGATCAAAATAATGGAGCAAAGTAATCCGATGAAAGGCATGGTGGATTCTTTCAATGTTTCGGTGGCTGCAGGCATAGTCATGCACCGTGCTGTTTGTGACAGAATAACTCTCCTGGTAATGTTTTCTGCCTAAATTCATGGATATTTTAGTCATGTACTGATTCTGATTGTTCCATCTTATTCTGAATGTATGACAAGGTGCCAGTATTTATTGCTGAAATCGCACCAAAGAAACTATAAACCGGGTAACATGTGTCTGTCAAGTAGCAGCAGTCATTATCATCATCACAATTTCCTGAAGTTGTGAATTTAATTTTCTGAACAGTCGTTAGTTGTCTGAATGTACAATATAAATGCATAAAGAAGATAGATAACAATGAAACATGCACATAGTTTTATCTGATTATTTCTCATATTATTCCACAGCTTATGATCTGCAGTGGGGTATCTGTTGCCTTCATAATAGGGCAGTTCTAACTTGGAGGGCTTTAGCATTAACAGGTAAAAAGTTTCTTATCCATTTATTCAAAGCACAAGGATTCACAACATTCTTCTGCAAAACCATGTGTACTGTGTGTGTGAGTGTGTTTCTAAAGCTAGATAAGACAAGCTGGGACTCACAAGTGGAGTGATTGCAGGACTTATTTCTTGTTGAATTCTAGTCTTTGGACTCTTTATCATTCCAGAGTCTTCCAGATGGCTGGTATGAAATAGCAGTGAAAAGATAATGGAATCCTTTTTTTACCTTGAGTTATAGTAACATTAAATGGGAATTGGATAAAAATCTTAGATTTAATGCAGGCAAAGATAGGATGCGAAAAAGAATTTAAAGCAAAAGTGACTTGGCTGCTTAGGAAGCAGTAGGTATGGTCACCAAAATCAAGATGGTGACTTGGCTCTGTTGCTGAAAGCAAGCTGAGATCCATTTAGGAAGAATCAAATGATATGTAAGTAAGTGTATCACTAACTGCTTATTCACAAGGTTGATGGAATTACTGCAGTTGTTTTTGCAAGCACTTACCATTTGGCATTTTGGGCAGATATCATCAGAAGGCACCTACATCATGGACAGCGCCAACCACTGCATTCTTATTCTTGTGAGCTGCTTATTAGTAATGCACATTGTTAAAGTTGAAGATGATTTCCACGAAATGCAAGAACTGAAAGTTCGAGCAGAAGCTGCTGATGTTGCCAAATCGCAGGTATGATTTTCAAGATATATATATATATATATATCTATATCAACACATGGTTCACCACCCATTTCCAAGATAAAACTAATTATGACTTGGGAGTATTGCATGTGTTCCTGATATCAGTTTCTGGTAACAGTTTCTCATGAAATTAGGACTCCCATGAATGGCATCCTTGGTATATTCCAGATCTCCCCTTAAGGTTTTCTCTGTAAAATATACCTGCGAGGACATTAACAGAATTTAATCCGCTAATGTTCTGCTGACTTTTTGAATGTTTGCAGGGATGATTGCTTTGCTTTTAGATATAAATTTAAGTTCAACACAAAAGGATTATGCTCAGACCGCTCAAGATTGTGGAAAGGTGCAGATAACATTGATAAATGAGGTGCTTGACCGAGCAAAAATTGAAGCAGCAAAGTTAGAGCTTGAATCTGTCCCCTTTGACCTTCGATCTATCCTAGATGATGTGCTCTCTTTATTTTCTGAAAAGTCTAGAAGCAAAGGTGGTAAGGTAAGCCCAGATAAGATTAATAAAACCTACTGCTTCATTTTCAGTATGTTTTTCTATGTTAGATAGTTCCTATAGGTTATAGACTAATGGGGACGACTATGATCAAAATAGAAAAATCCTTCTGGTTTATAATGCTTGAACTAACTTGGTGCCTTTGTTTTTCCCTTTTCTTTCTCTGTTTCGGTGGGTTGTTGATGTCAATAAATGGTTGTGTTCCTGATGCATTACAATGATTGAAATATGGTGTAATTCTTTGGGAAATGAAGCTGGCAGTCTTTGTTTCTGATAAAGTTCCTGAAAGAGTTGTAGGAGATCCAGGGAGATTCAGACAGATCATTACTAATCTTGTTGGGAACTCTGTTAAAGTAAGCTGGTTACCCAACCTTCACTCTTTTTGACATTAATTTAGATAGAATTAGGGGTGTAATTAAGAGTCTTATTTAAAGCACAAGCTCAAATTTAGTTTACTATTGAATTGTCTTTGGTTTGGACTGCATTTTTAGAGATTCAAACTTTAGTTCTGCATCTTGATTACCCTGTTACAGTTTGTAGATTCAATTTGTGATGTCGTTTATTTACTGCAGTATTGCTTGGTGGTTCTTGGTTTGGATCTTTCATTTGAATAGAATGTTTATGGTGATTATCTATATATATGAAGCATTGGTTAATGAGGTGAACTATTGATTATATGTGTGAGGTTCTTTGTTTCTGATTACATAATTTATATTCTGCTTAGATCTTTGGGCAACTGGCTTTTCTTTTCATATTATCAGTATTCTCGTGCTCCTAAATTACTCTTGCAGCGAAGCGCGGACTTGAAATCTAGTTCAAGTAAATCCTTTCAATAATTTATTCCCTAGGTCTTTAATAGATGTTCAAAATATGCACATTGATTTGATCTATGGGAAGAATAACTTTGAATTCTGATATAGCAACAAATGTATAATTCTTAAATCATTGCAAAAAGTCCAAATGTTTTTCCCGATAAATGCATAATTATGAAATGAGTGAAGCATGAAGATTCAAAATTAGAACCTAACATGATTCTCCTTTGATATTTCATACAGTCTGACCCCAAAATTATGGGATATGAGACTTAGTTTGTTGTTGTTTCCTCTCATATTTAACTGTATCTTGGTTGCAGGGGACTGAGCTCCCTGTTATCTTGGTTGCAATCCTTTTATTTGATCAAACTACATTCAAGGTAAGGACCGGGTCTGGAGTGCTCTATGAATATTGTGAATTAAACCTGAGCTTATGCATGAAGTTGACTAAATATGCAAAAAGTAATTCAAGATCACAATGGTTTATATACAGACAACATGCTTTCCTACTATATAACATATGCATGTATTCAAAATCATACGACAGGTAACAATGTTTTCAAAAACTTCAACCACGGTGCCGAGTGAACTTATAACACAAACTTTCAGGGGATTGGAAGCTAATATCATTTTGAATGTACCATGTTCATGTAGGAAGTACTGGAAGTGCGCTTTTTCATAAAGGAATTGATCTTTAAGTTTCAGAGAGTACTGTTTACAAGCGATTCATTCGAGAAATTATAGATTTGGGAGACTTATGATGAGCATGCTATTCTTCAATTCACTGGCCATTTGGGTTAGTCTGATCTCTAGTAGTGATTTCTCGAATAATGCTATAAACCAGGATGGTTATTTTACTAACTTCTTTTGTTAATGTAGAAAATTTTGAACTATTCCAACAAGTGAGAGTTCATCACTTTCATGGCTTCAAATCCCCACTCCTCGAGGGAATGATTTCAATGCTTTGTACAACACCCAATTCAGATTCCTTGAACTGCCTTGGATCCTGCAGCCTTTGGCTCTGAAGGTAACTTCCTAAGAGATGAAGACTTTACGAGAAAGTTGAATACAACTGATGCGGTTTTAAGGAAACATCAAAATGTTGATTTTCCTGAGAGACGCCAATTATGGACATTGCTTGGTTCATCATCTCCATGCAGGCAGAGCTATGAGAGTGATTCAATTGGACTTTGGAGTCAGCCAATTGAATGTTAATAAATGTACAGAAGAAGCAAATTAAGAAATTGAATTGAGGTTTTCCTTTCATTTTCACGTCCCTTTTTCCTTTTATTCATTCATTTTGTCTAAATCTGATTCCAACTGTCAAACCATTACGTAGAAAGCTTAACAATTGGATTTCACTAATTTTCTCGCTTCTCTTTTATTTTACTTTTTTTGTTTTAGTTTCCTGAAATTTTCAACCTTCTCCATCTTTTCCTCTGCAAATAAAACTCATTTCACCTAGATTCCAGTCCTCAAACATCTCCCAAGAATCAAAATGACAAAAACCCATCTTAACCCTCAATTCTTAATGCCTGAAACCCATAGTTCTCAAATTTGAGCAAAAAAAAAACCCCTAAAAATCAGAATGAATATAGCAAGGCACTTGCTTGCAGCAACAATAATTTCAAGCATGACCTCCAAAAAATACTTATAAAAAATGTTACGTATATGATTGCAGCAACAGTTATCTCAAAAAACTCATCACTGCATAATCTAAAATTTTCCCAACATCTGACAGGGAATGCATTTCCTTTAAAATGGCATACAGAGAAGTGAATCTTCCAACTACAACACTAAACAAATTAAGAAATAAAAATGTTCATGGCTGCAGGCGTTGAAGCAAAACATCAATGAATGAAACACATTTGGTTAGTTTATATTCGAATGAAAAGTAAAGTTGTAAACTAGGGTAATGACATAATACAGATATGTGTCACCAAAAAGTAGATAATGTAAAGTGAAAATATGTCCTTTTCTTTTATCTTTTAAACTAAACTCTAAATCCTCAATTTTAGAACTGACTACAATTTAACTAATATTTTTCTACTGTATTATCATCTTTAACTTTTTCACCAACTTCTCTTAATTCAAAATCTTCGGTGACTATAAATTAAAAAATTAAATTTGATAATTTTAAACACGATATGATAATACAATATAAGAAAAGACATAAAAACAACATAAAGCAAAAATCATATATAGATTCGACAAAAAAAATGTGTTTCATGTTTAGTATATCAACACGAATTATAAAATTATGATTTTCGTATTTTACATATATTTGATAAAAAATAGACAAACACAAATACATAAATTACTAGATCTATTATAAATACTATTATTTATTTAGTGCAATACTGTTTTTAAAGTGGTTCCAAGATTGGAATGTCTGCTATTTCCCATGTAGTTAACCACTACTGTCGATTTTGATAAAATTGACTTTGTTGCTATTGATTGATTGATTTCTATCGTGATTTTTTTTCAACTAGGAAACTTATGAAGAGGATTTAGGAATTTAGAAAACTAATAGTAATTCCTAGTATTAACAATTTTTGCATTCTTCCATGATTATTAAATTTATATGGCACATATCCACATAAATCTGATTGGCAGTTTGTATTGTTATGTCCACCTTTCAGGTCTTTAGCCACTCATTTTGCCTTCAACTTGAGGAAGAGGTCAACCTAGTCATTTTTCAGTCTTTGTTCGGAGTCTTACATCAAGAAGGATTGTATACCTGAAGCAACCTTTAGACTTGAGAAATTGCTCCAGTCCAAACATCCCGAGATAAGCCAGAGTATCACTGATGCAGCGAAGAAGCTCAGATGTTTAAAATGAGACACAGCTTGAGTGCAAGCTTTCGCAGATTTGGAGCATTTAAAATTGAAACAGGACGATTGAAGATTGCACTGCATACCGAGAAAGGACCGAGTGGATTTTTGCTGTTTTCTTTAGAGAGTATGTATACTGCATCTCCAGTTAGGTTGTGCTCGACTTCTAACATTTTCCATCATGCATCGTTTTGCATTCATTTAAGATGCATACATTTAAGTGTTATGGTTAGATGCTCGAATTCGAAATACTGACTCTTCAATGTGTAATAGTATTTAACCTGTAAATCATGCCATTGTTGAGTATGAGTTTTGGCAGCCTTTCCATTTGGTCAACTTAGTTGATCCACTGAGACGATTGCCCTGTTCTGTTTATAAATTTCATTCTAAGCGGTATGGAAATGCTTTTTCTTCCTTTACTCTTTGAATAGTTGTTAGTTTTCAACACTCCCTAGAACCAGCCAGAGTGCCACGATCATGGCATAGAATCGGGAATCTCATATTAGTCATATACTAGAGTTTATATTGGGATATAAAGATTTACATATTTTTTTCATTGTGAGACATTTTTAGTGAGATAAAATCATGAGAGTAGAGAAATTAAAGCAGATAATATTTTACAAAAGTATGAACTATAACAGATAAAACTAATTTGATACGTCAAATAAATATATGTCCGAGTCTTAAACTCGCGGGGCTAAAAGTTGAGTTTCGATCCGTAACAAATAGTATTAGAGCCAGTTCTAGTTGTACAAGCGATGTGTCACCGAAGACGATGGACCTCAGTAACGTGCCACCAAAGACGATAGGCCTCCATTAAAGTGAGAGAAAATGTCACAGTCTTGAAGTAGAATCAAGAATCCCACATCGATTGTGTACTAAAATTGATCTTGAAATATAACGGTTCACATATTGAAACCCTTTTTGTGGGATAAAATCGTGAGATCAAAAAGATTAGAACGAACAATATTTCATAAAAGTGTGAACCATGACAAGTAGATCAATATTAAATATCGGATGAATGCATGCTTAGATTCTAAAACAATGCGGGCTTAGACATTGAGTTCGGCCAATGACACAAAGCTTAGGGCTTGGTTCAAACCCATAAAGGGTAGATCCAGTTGTTCAGCTATTTGTAATCAAAACCAGAAAAAAATTTATATTTAGATAATAACTTAAAATAATACCCCGTAAATGATATAAAAAATAACAAATAATAGATGAAAATGATATGAAAAAAAATACGAAAAAAATATAATTTAATTTTAATAAAAATTAAACATGAATTTAATAAAAATAAAAAATAAATTATAATGATATGTAATTTTTGGATTAAATATGAGATAAATATACAAATTATTAATACTGTCTATAATAAAAATATATGAATTGTAAAGTCTAATTTGAGTGATAGCAACATTTTGATGATTGAATTGCTTTAAAATATTTTCATGATAGCAACAGACAATAGCTATTGGAATTTAAAAGTCTCACAATTCTAACTAAATAAATGTTACTTCTATTTTAAACATAATTTAGACTAATTCATTGATCAAAGTGAAAGTAATCTGAGCTTAATTCAACTGATAAAATAAAAAATGTGAGAAAAATTAAACAAAATTTAATAAATGATGGTATTGTGCACTTGTAAATTCTTAATTTTTCCATTTCTTGCTTTTATATATTTATTAATGAATTTTTCATCAACTTATAAAGTTCCTAAATTTTTTATATTATTTTCAATTGGGAAAAGAAGATTAAATTATAATTTTTAAGACAATATATGCATTTGTTGTTAGGTTAAAATAATAAAAAACTCTAAATTTTATCATTTTATTTTAATTAGATAAACTCTTATATTTTTATTATATTTAAATAAACTTTTAAATTTTAATTTGTACTAAATAAATCATTAACCTTTAATTTTTATATAAATAAATTTTTAACTTTTAATTTATATCTAAATAAGTCATTTATACAAATCAATATTTAGATAAATTATTTAATTTAAAATAAAGAATTATTTAGATAAATTAAAAATAAAAATTTATTTGAATATAATGAAAATATAAAATTTATTTTAAAAATTAAAATAATTCATGTGTTTTTTTAATATTTTAACCAAAATCAAAAGGGATACTTTGATTTTCCTTTTTTGCAACTTTTTTACCTAAAAAGTTGAAAATAATACTTTTTTATTTTTATTTTCTCATGAACAATTTAGTATTGTCGAGATGTAAACAGGGCCTACTTGTAGATTCCAAAGTGGGCCCAACCCCAGCATTTCCTGCCGAAACAAATAAATATCCTCAACTTTCCCCTTTCAATTTTAACATATTTCCTCCTCTGCCACCGACTCAACAACTCGACCAACCTTCAAACAGGCAGGAGATTTGATTCATTTAAACACACAAAAACAACGGCAGAGCCCATGGAGATTTCTTCTTTATCGCAATCTCTCAATCTTTGCAGGTCTTTTTCTCTCTTTTTAATACCGTTAAGTAAGTTGCTACTTGCTGTACATAATCTTCTTCTTCATCTTTTTTTGAATTTTAATTTTTTTCTCTTGTTTTTAGCCGAATAAATGAGATCTCGGAGATTCATAGTAGCAATAAAAATGAGGTTGAGAGTGAAGCTCTCTCTTCGGATTCCAAGAAGTTGCTCAAAGATTGCACTTCTCATTTCGAGGTGATTCTCAATATTACTTTCTAATATTTTGTTTAATTTTTTTTTTTTGAATTAAGACTTAAGAGTGGGTTTATGCAGAGTAAAGTGAAGCAAATTGTTGAAGAGTATTCTGACTTGGGTTTCTTAGGAATTGAAGATTTAAGTATGTTTCCTTTAATATTTTAGATTTTTTTGGTTAATTTTTATTAACATCAATTACATATATACATGTACAATTGAACTTAAAGAGGGTATTGTATTAAGTAACTGCCTCTTTTGCTTGTTTTAGTCTTTAATCGGATTGTATGTTATGGTTACTGAGTTTTAGAAACAAAGTTGGATTTCTTTTTCTTTTTGGGGAAAAATCTCTGGGTTTTGTGGAATATGGAGTCTAAAAGGGTTTTTAGATAATGATAAGGTTTCTGATACGGAAGGGAATTTGATAGTTTAGGATCCATTCAAAGTTTTTGATGTTCTTTCGGATAACATGTTTACGGTGTTATTCTTCTAATTGTGATTGCCTGAAATGTAAGTATTTTATAAAGTGACTCATCATAGGAAACTAAAAGATGAATATCTAGCACACTTGAATGCCTAGCACATCATAGGAAAACATCTGTATGCCTGCAATGCGATGTTGTGCTGATTCTGGATTGGTGTTTTTTTAATTATTCATACAGATAAATACTTAGCACACTTGAAAGAGGCGCTTAATCAAGTAGAGGCTGAAAGTACCCAGATTTCTAAGGAAATTGAGGATCTTTCAAGAAATCATATTGAAGGTGAGGCTTCATTGGCTTAGGTTTGATTTTCACATGTAATTACTCTTAAATGCTTTTTCTTCTGCTGATTTACGTTTGACTTCTATTTTTACAGAAACAAATATACTGGAAGGCAATCTTGACGGCTTGAAGTGTGCATTGGATTCTATTGCATCTCAGGTTGGTTCTCCTATGTTATTTCATTTTGTGAAGCAATCTTAATGGCTTGAAAGGTATTCAGTTTGAAATCAATTTGGAAGTCAAATTTAACAGTTAGCCTTTTTACATTTTGTGTTTTAGGGTCTGGAGACAGTAGAAGAGGACCCCTGCTATAAAAATCAATTGAATTTGGTGGATGCAAATGAAGAGAAAAAGTTTGAGGTGCTTTTGTTTCTTCTCACTTGCTTCTTGAATACTGCATTAGATTCTAGCTGATGGCTGAACTTTAATAATTGTGCCATAGGTTTTTGGCTCTATAATCATGTTTATAAGAGTCTCTTTTCTTTGATGACTAAGTTCTAGCTCTTTTATAATGATCCAGATATTTGATATATTCAATTAGGATATTAATTATGTATATCTGCTAATAATGTATGTTAAATTCTTTGAGTTGTAAGTGGCATTACATATTTTATTTCATTAAACATCCAATATTCTTCTATTTATGCTTTTCAGATTTTGGAACTAGAAAGTCAGATTGAGAAGAGCAATTTAATTTTTTAGTCTTTGCAAGATCTTGATTCTATGTTTAAAAGATTGTTCACTTATTTTTGCTTTGGTTATATGTGTTCTATATCAGTATCTTTTTGCTTACTACGTTCTTTTCTTTTTCTTTTATTTTCAGATTAGATACCCTAGACCAGATTGAAGATGCATTGACTGGTTTGAAAGTCATTGGGTTTGATGGAAACTGCATTAGGTTGTCATTACAGATTTATATTCCAAAAGTAGAGGTTGAATTGTTCCAAAAGATGATTGAAGATATTGCTGAGCCATCTGAAATGAATTATGAATTGCTAGTAGAGATTATGGATGGAACCACGGAGGTTAAGAACGTTGAGGTATGACTAAATGTTTTTTCGTGAAAAACCTGAAATAATCTGTTGTTCTTTTCTTTATCTCTGTTCTCATAAAGAAAGAAATTAAACTTTTGATATTCAATGGAGAAATAATCATACTTGACAAATAACTAATCTCACTGATGAAATAATGTGAAGACAACTGAAAAGGAAAAAATTGGTTTTAAGAATGCCAAAAAATTCAGTTTCTTTCCCATTTGATGCAATCAAACTGGAAAAAGAAAAAAACAATTTGGTGTCAAAACCATTTTCACAAAAGTTACTATCATATATTTCTTTTTGGATGATAATTTTTTCATTCATTAGTCTCATGCCATGTCTTTTTTTTTTGGCTCAAGTTAAACAGGCATTAGAAAACCTGTACTTGCTTGCAAAAGAAGAATCATATTTGTTCTTCATGTCTTTTTGTTCAATTGTTTTGAAATGCTTGTTCATGTATCATGTTGTCCAGATGTTCGCAAATGATGTTTACATAGGTGATATAATTGATGCGGCAAAGTCTTTAATGTTTGGTTTTTCAGTTTTTCTGACTTCAAGGTTGAATCCCAATTTATCATGTGTATTTTTGCATATGTGTATATGTATAGTAGCATAAGGCCTTTAAAGGGAATATAATTTGTTAGTTTTTATATAGAACAATAGATTGAATCCTAAATGTGATTTCTTGCAAAAGAAGAAGTCCTCTGAAGGACTATCCCCTTTCTTCTTTCAATTTTTAATGTCTTAGGCGCTTCCAAACCTAAAATTACCTGCGTCTCTTTTCTCAACCTTGCTGCTATCCACCCTATATAAAACCTTTCAATCCTCTTTTATACATCAACTTATCCATCATTTAGAGGGTATTATCAAATTATGGTCCCATCATATTAATTCATCTCTCAGAAACCAAAGTTCTTCATTCAGACTTTCAGTCTAAGTTTTTATTGAAAGGTAGGTTTTTTTTACTAGAACAGAAACCTGTTTGTCCTTCTTTTGGCTCATTTGAACCTTTAACTTCCTATCTTCTTTCTCTTCATAGCAGATCCTGTTTTCCCAGGCTGTCACCTTTAAGTATAAGCTTCAATTATCCTTGTTGTTTTTGTGTTAAAAGTACTGTTCATAGTATGTAGTTTTTGTCACCTTTTACTGAGATGTTTGCAGTCATTGTTCTATATACATTTATTATTTATATAAACGCACATTTTTCTTGAAACTTAATCAACCCACCATGTAGAGATGGCTAGTAGCTTAATTAAACCTGCAGTTGTCATGAATAATTTTTTTTTTATCCAGTTTAACGAAGGTAGACCTTGATTGAATTCCTTATTTAAGGTATATAATCTACTATAATGTTGCAGGCAGCTATCCTCTAACTTAATGGCACAGAAGACATGGTCTTCACTGGAGTGGCTTGTGGGAAAAGTGCAGGATAGGATTATCTTAAGTACTTTCAGACGATTTATAGTGAAGAGTACAAATAAATCAAGGTAAGACTCATATAGGTAAAGTCTTCACAGTGATGATATAATATTTTCAAAAGGTTTAAAGTAGCTGGTCAATTGTGCACTTCATTTCCTTTGTCATATAAAATATTTTAATTTCTGTTCACCCACCAAAAATGGGGGAAAGTTGAAAGAAATTGCAAAAGGAGAAGCTTTTTACATTTGAATAGTGCCTAGTGTAGGCATTCCTTTGAGTACTAAGAGAGAGATGACACCATCATAGCTCACATGGTCGGGGCCATTGATGCATTTATTGAGGTGTCTCAAGGTTGGCCGCTATCAAAATCTGCATTGAAATTGTTATCTGTCAAGAGCTCAGATCATCATTCAAGGGGAATTTCATCTACAAGATACAAATGGGCAACATCTATGGAGAAATGCTGGCTATCGTTCTGTTGATACTCAGTTGCTTTCTTTTTTCTTAATGATCATTATTTTTATTTTTTTAATTTATAATGAATTTTTATAAATGTAAGATTTTGATATTCGGAGTATTTATTAAATGAAATAATCATTTCATCAATCTCTTAGACTTCTCTTTTTGTTTGATGACAATTAACTTTTATTTTTCCTTTTATAAACGCATGTAGCAATATTTCTAATTTGTTGAGGTTTATGGTTAATACTATGTGAAGCTAATAAATTTTTATTTTAAAATATTAAATGGAAATAAAATTAATAACAAAAATCGATAAACTTATAGCACTTGTTGGATATAATCTATATATACAAAAACTCAATAAACATTGACAAAAAATTTATTAGATGTTTGGCCAAACTTATGGAAGAGATTATTTAATGTAAAAATAGTGTTTGACTTTCAAAATTTTAGGTTAAAAATAAAAATGTCTTTAAATTATAATGAAAAAATTGTTTAAAATTTTAATATTTTATTGCAATCAATTGTGTTCTTAGTCTTTTATTTTGACTTAATTTAATCCATATTTAGATGAAATTTAATCACACTATAAAATTGAACCAATCAATCTTTGAATTACAATCAATTGAATCCTTATAGGAATCTTAGACAAAGAGGAGAAGAGAAAATAAATAAGAAAAAGAAAAAGGAAAAAGAAAATTCTCAGATTGTAAACCATTCCTCAATCCCCTAAACATTTATCTTCTCCATGCATACATGTACTTATGATCAAAAAATTTCATTTAACAAAAAAAAAAAGAATGATAAAAAAGCTCCAATTTAAAATTTTTATCACCATAATATAATAGAGTTTAGCATATATATTAATTATAATTACATGAAAATCAACAAATGTAAACCTTTTTAAAATTAAATCACATACCTTAACAAAAAATATATATATATATTTTTTGAAAAGATCCATTGTTTATTCTTATAAATCATATAAATCATTGTAAAAAGAAAGTAAAAAAAAGGAAATTTAAGGGAGGAAAGAGAGTTTTGAAAAAGAAATATGAATGAAAACTTTTAGATAAAAAATTTGGAGAAATCTTGAATGGAAGGAGTAAAGAAAAGAGTTTTTGATAGAATAGAATAGCCAAAATCTATTATGTTTTCAATTCTACATCAAGTATATTAAAATATAAATAATTGAACGTGTTTTTATCCATTTATTTAAATGGATGTTTTTATCTGCTTATTTAACTAGAGATTTATAAAATGTATTAAGATGGATATTCTTAAGTTCTTAAACCAAAATTTTTAAATAGTAATTCATGTATGCTTTTATCAATTTAAACAAATTTGAATATTTTAAATGGTAATATTAAATAAAGTAAATAATCACATATCTTTTTATCTGTTTTCAAATTAATATTTGAATATTTATTATTTTATGATTTAGTTTAAAAGTTTTTGTATTTGATTATTTTGATAATATAAATTACGATTATTTATTATTATCCTATGTGTCATCCAGAAAAATTATCAACTTAAATGTCCACGTAAGTAAATCTTAGTAGGTTTGTATGTATATTGTAATATAATATTATATATGATCGTAATATATTTTATATTTATATAAATATTTATCAATTTTTAAAATTTAACTTTAGTACTATTTACATCTTTATTTTAAATTTATTAAGCTCATTGACGATTATGTAAAAAATGAAATTCATTATTATATTCAAATTTACAAAAAAATTTAAATTTTATAAAATTCCAAAATGATCCAAAACTCATCCAAATCTCTCCGAACTTAAGATTGAACAAAAATTTAAATCTTATACGGTCAAATCTGAAATTATTCAAACTAAAAAATCCAAATTTGAAAGTGTTTGGATTTAAGATAATCAATATCTGAAATAAAATCAAATCCCAACTTATCTGAATACAAAAAATCCAATGTAATCCTACCTAAATTCGTCCATTTGCCACTTCTAGATTAATAAACTTTGAGAAGAAAAATTTTTAGAATTAGAATTAGTTTTTTCGAAGAATAAAAAAGTCGACAATATATATTATAGTTTATAAGACATCTTGAATATATCCATTAGCATGTCTCTGCCTCATTAATTCATCTTAATTTCAGTTGAATTAGATATGTTTTTCTTCAAGATGTTGTTCCAAAATTGTGTTGAAAGTTAAGAATTCCATAATGGCAATTGCTTTCTCATCTCTTATTCTTTCCATATCATGTCCATCAATTGATTTAAATATAAAACTAATTTTAATTGAATTATATCTTTGATAGCAACTGTTTTTTTTTTAAATTTTTTTGGGACTTATTCCAAAATTATGAAATCAAAAGCATCAAAGAACATGGAAGATTGGAGAGTTTGTACGTAGCATATCAAAGTTCATAATTGAACAAAAAAAAAAAAACAAAATGGGTTCCTTTGTTATTGCTATGTTTTCCCATTAAATGACATGACTAAGACAAAACATTGTCAATTTGGTATAATAAAAAAATTTCTCAAATTATAAGAAAATTCTCTAATTTTTTTTTATCGTTTCAATTGGTTCAAGGACTTTGATAAAAGACAATTTTAAATCCTCAAGGTTTTTATTTCTGCCATGTCAATTGGTTCAAAGACTTTGAAAACATAAACAATTTTCAAATTCTCAAGCTTTTCCTTCATCCTATTATTTCAAAATTTGGAAATTTAGTTACCTATAATAACTTAGTCAACAAGTTATTTATAAAAAAAAAACTTAGTCAACAAGTTAAATTAATTACTACCATCAACATCTACGCTCTTTCAATGTGCTTTCTCAAATCTTATAAACTTCCACGAAGTGATTTGTGGTTGTGGTTGAGTCATATGAAAATAATTAATTGCTAATTTTTTATTATAAAATTAGTTGCTAATTATTTAAGATGATTGAATTATTATATTCTCAGGATTTAATTATCTTTGGATGCTTAGGAATTTGAAAGAAAACTATGTAATCTCATTGGTTTCCTTCTTTGGTTAAAGGGTTTGTTCAATTTTAAGACTATATACATACAAATTATAAAGGTATTTCCGTTGGGAATATTGACTTAATTATTAAAAAAAAATTCAATGAGAAATTTGTTTGAGATTTTTTTTAAAAGTTGATTATATATTATTTGATAAATAAAAAAATTTAAAAAATAAAAAACTTTAAGAGTAAAGAGATTTTTGATGAGCGGGTTAGAGGTATTATGTATAGTGGGAGTCTAAATAGGATTAAAAAATTTTACCATTATGTGGGTTGAGAATTCATAATATTAAGGGAAAATGAGAAAGTCCATAGCTATTGATTGTGAGTGTTAGTTGATTTAATTGTATATTTGTAAGTCTCTACATTTAATAAACATTAAATCATTATCTTTTATATGGATGATGATTTATGGTTTGAGCATACTTATGCTTGCTTGACTAATTTATTAATTGATTGTGTTTTTTATGCCTAACAATTTGATCTTATGAATAAAATTTTTAATATTTTTTAATTTTGTTTGGGTCCAAAATTTTTAATCTCATTGCATTTCAATTGGTTTACAAAACTTTGAAAAGAAAAAGAAATTTGGAATTGCAAGGAGTTTCCTATAGAATTAAAGAGTTGCCAATTTTATAAGACATTCCTATAGATCACTCCAATTGGCTTCAAGGAAGTTTGGAATTCAAAATTTAGATATTCTTTTCATTCAATGATGTTGTCTTAAATTACGTTAAAAGTCAAGAATTCTCATAATTTATCCTTAAAATTTCCAGTTTTTTTATCTTATTCCTTTAACCTGATGTCCAATCCATCTCAACCAACAAGAAACTTGCAATTTTTTTTTCAATTCCTTTCAATTTAGAAGTACTCTTTGGGTTGAAGCTGAGAACTTATGTACATATTTGAGGATTGAACAAAAAACAAAAATCTAGTTTCTCTCTTAATCTCTCTAATTAAGTATGTATGCTTTATTTAATTTTATATTAATTTGTTAATTTATTAGTTTAATATTGATTTTTGTTTCAAACTAACTGGTTGAGCAATGTTATATCCGAATATATTTTCTCATTTCTTAATTAAAAAGTTAAATACAATGAAAATAAGATATTAACTTAGTACTTATGATTTAGTCTTTCATAAATTTTAAGTATATTGTTTATTGCTTGCTAGAAAAAATAAATTTATTGCTATACTTTTGTGTTTTTAATTGACTTAGACTAAAGCACCTTCTTAGATTATTAGTATTGTGAAGTAACAATCACAAAAAAGACTAAAATATTAGCGTGATGACATGACTAAGTTTAAAGCAAAAGATTAAGTCTTATTTATTATTTGTGTGTTTGATTTAATTTTATGTTGGATTTGTTTAATTATTTTTTTGGTTCATTTGTTAATTTATTTGTTTGACTTAATTCAATAAATTTTTATAACAAAATACTATTTAATTATAATTGTAATTTTTCATATCAGAACCTAAATTCCTAGTCAATTAGTTTTTTCTTTTTTCTTTTTATTGATAATTGGTATTTACAATTCCATTAGATTTAAATATAAAACTAATTTTAATTTAATTATATCTTTTATAGCAACTGTATTTTTATTTTTATTTTTTGGGACTTATTCCAAACTTATAAAATCAAAAGCATTAAAAAAAAAAAAGGAAGATTGGAGAGTTTCTACATAGCATATCTTATGCAAAGTTCATAATTGAAAAAAAAAAAAAAAGGCAAAATGGGTTCTTTTGATATTGCTAATTTTTTCCCTTTGAATGACATGACTAAGACAAATTATTATGAATTTGGTATAATAAAAGAATTTTCTTGGATTCTAAGAAAATTCTCTAATTCTTTTTCTATCGTTTTAATAGGCTCAAGGACTTTGAAAAACAAGCAATTTTTAAATCTTTAAGGTTTTAGTTCTACCGTGTCAATTGGTTTAAGGACTTTGAAAACAAAAATACTTTCTAAATTCTCAAGTTTTTCTTTCATCCTATTCTTTTCAAAAATTGGAAATTTAGTTATATATAATAATTTAGTCAACAAGTTAAATTAATTACTACCATCAACATCTACACTCTTTCAATGTGCTTTCTCAAGTTTTATATATAAACTTCCACAAAATGATTTGTGGTTGTAGTTGAGATACATGAAAATAATTAATTGCTAATTTTTCATTAGAAAATTAATTGTTAATTATTTAAGATGATTGAATTATTATACATTCTCAGGATTTAATTATTTTAGGATGTTTAGGAATTTTTTAGAAAACCATGTAATCTCATTGGTTTCTTTTTGTTTTTTTGGTTAAAAGGTTTGTTCAATTTTAAGACTATATACATACAAATTATAAGGGTATTTGTATTAAGAATATTGACTTAAACATTAAAAAAATTTAATAAGAGATTTGTTCGAGAATTTTTCGAGATTAACTATATGTTATTTGAAAGAAAAAAATTGAAAGAAAAAAATTTTAAGAGTAAAGGAGTTTTTTGTGATTAAGTTAGAAATATTATATATTGTGTGAGTTTTAACAAGGTTATGTATAAGAAAAATATATACAAAAAAAAATTATAGTGTTTTCCAAGATAAACTCTTCAAGGGGCCAAGGGAGAGTACTCATGGGTATGCATATATAATTGATTATATTTCATAGTACAAGAGGAAAATAATAGCAGTACTATTAGGTGCTAATGTTTGATTGATTACACTTAATATGATTAGAAGAGAATGAAAAGGTTATGGGTGTGTGAATATTTATAGTTTGGGTTTAGTGTAATTTTTAGAATTAAATGAGAATAAAAGGGTATATAGATATTGATTGTAAGTGTTGGTTGATTTAATCGTATATTTGTAATTTTTTATATGTAATAGATCTTTTCTTTTATCGATGGATGCAGATAAATTAAGTATCGAATTATGTTAAATTATTATCTTTTGTATGGGTAATGATTTATGATTTGAGTATGCTTATGCTTGCTTGAATAATTTATTAATTGGTTGGATTTTTTGTGCCAAACAATTTGATCCTGTGAATAAAATTATTAATGTTTTTTTTTTTAAAAAAAATTTTGTTTGGTTCCATATTTTTTAATCTTTTTACGTTTCAATTGGTTTATGATACTTTGAGAAGAAAAAGAAATTTGAAATTGCAAGGAGTTTTCCTGAAGAATTGAAAAGTCACCAATTTTATAAGATATTCGTATAGATCACTCCAATTATTGTCAAGGAAGTTTGGAAGACCAAATTTAGATATTCTATTTCTTCAATGATGTTGCTTCAAATTGTGTTAAAAGTCAAGAATTCCCATAATTTATCATCAAAATTTTCACTCTCTGTGCCAACTTTTTTGTGTCTTATTCCTTCAACCTTACGTCCAATCCTTCTCAACCAACAAGAAATTTAACAAAATTTTTTTTTATTTCCTTTTAATTTAGAAGTGCTCTTTGGGTTAAAGCTGAGAACGTGTATACCTATTCGAGGATTAAATGAAAAACATTAAGTGTTTTATATTAATTTGTTACTTTATTAGCTTTTGAGCAACGTTGCATCAGAATATATTATCTCATTTCATTATTCAAAAGTTGAAGATAATGAAAATCAGAATTTTTTATACGAATATAATATTTAATTATAATTATAATTTTTTTGTATTTATAACTTTATAATAAAATTAATAATCAGATAAGGATATATAATACAATGTGATGTAGTAGTCTATAAATATGGTGTATGGAAATATGAAACTCCACAACCTATCCTTCATTTTTGTAGACAGAAAACATGAGCCCTCTTCGTATCCTAATTTCACTCTTTTTGCCTACTTTCTTTCTCTTCTCATGCTCCTTCATACCTGTTGTGCAATCTAAAACAAGTATCCAAAGCCAACGCCTTGATGACCAAAGATCTGCTCTGGTTCAGTTGCAGCAAGATCTTTACTTTTCTCCTAATTTTACTTTTTCTTCCAAACTTGAGCTTTGGGATCTCAAAACAGATTATTGCTCTTGGAAAGGAGTCACGTGTGATGGTCTTGGTTATGTTATTGGCCTCGATCTTAATTCCAAAAACCTTTCAGGAAATTTTCATTCTATTTTTGATCTTCATCATCTTCAACGCCTTAATTTTGCTGAAAACAATTTTAATACCACTCTGTTTCCTTATGAGTTTGAAGGACTCCCAAATTTGACTCATTTAAATCTCTCAGCCTCATGTTTTCACGGTCAAATTCCAATAGCAATTTCACACTTAACAAGGTTAGTGTCTCTTGATCTATCTAATCAAGATTATTGCTATTGGAGAAATTATCAAATTGTTGATTCACATGATGATGGTTATTATCCTATTCTAAAGCTAGAGAAACCAACTTTCAACTCATTAGTCAAGAATTTGATGTTTCTCGAAGAGCTCTATTTGGATAGGGTGAACATTTCAACTCAAAGTACAAAATGGTGTGGAATCATATCGTCAACACTTCCAAATTTACATGTGTTAAGCATGTCATCTTGTGGTTTGACAGGTCCACTTTGTTCTTCTTTCTCCACACTCCATTTTCTTTCCAAACTTAACCTTGACGATAACCTAATCTCTTATTTGCCTCTCAATTTCTTGGAAAGTTCCTCTCGGTTGGTTTCTCTCAGTCTAAGGTATTGCAATTTGAGTGGGCATTTTCCAACTGAAGTTTTCTTACTGCCCAAAATGCAAAGCATTGATATTTCACAAAATTACAATCTCATGGGTCCGTTGCCAGAATTTTCGATTAACAACAATTTACAGGTCATATCACTATTCTTGACGAATTTCAGCGGAGAATTACCAAAATCAATTGGTAATCTTAGGTTATTGACAAAATTAGATCTTGGTGGTTGTTATTTCTCTGGATCCATTCCATCATCACTTGCAAATCTTACTGATCTTGTGGAACTGTATCTATCAGATAATAATTTCAGTGGTTTAACCCCTCCATTTCATAGATCTGGAGTTCCAAATCTTGCAATTCTCAATTTGGGTGGGAACCGGCTTTCTGGATCAATACATTCTTCTTTATTTACTCTCCCATCATTACATACATTGTCTCTTGAAGGAAATCAACTGGTTGGTGAAATTGATGAGTTCCCCAATGCATCCTTTTCGGTGATGCGAGATTTGAGCTTAGGCGATAATTATTTAAATGGATCCATTCCTAACTCAATCCTTCAACTCTCACGGCTTGAATCACTTTATATTGGCTATAACAACTTTGGTTCTATGAAGCTTGACATGTTCTTTCAACTAAAGAACTTAAGGTCTCTCGATCTATCCAATATGAGCTTGTTAATTGGAAGCGACAACAAAAGCCTTATATTTCCCCAATTGGAGGAGTTAGCCCTAAGGTCATGCAACCTTACTGGATTTCCAGAATTCATCAAAACACAAGGCAAGTTGGCTTTTCTAGATCTTTCTTACAACCAATTAGCAAACTCCTCCTTTTCAATTGAAAGCCACAACAAAAGCTTTACTATTCCTCAATTAGATTATCTTAACCTACGATCTTGCAACTTTACTGGATTTCCAGAATTCATCAAAACACAAGGCAAGTTGACTGTTCTAGATCTTTCTCACAACCAAATCCAAGGTTTTGTGCCTAATTGGTTGAGGAAGACCACTCTTCTACGTTTAGACCTTTCTTTCAATGCCATTGATTTCCCAAAACAATTTCCCTTTGGTGATGCAAACTCTTCGTTTCCAATGCTGTGGTTGTTGATTTTAAGATCCTGTAATATAAGTACATTTCCAGAGTTTTTAAAGAGTCAAGAGAATTTAGAATATCTTGACCTTTCAAACAACAAAATAAGTGGTGCAGTACCAAACTGGTTGTGGAAGAAAAGTTTGGGTTATTTGTCTCTTTCTAACAATCATCTCTCATCCTTGGACCAATTTTTGCACAATCAGTCTCTAACTTCTTCACAAGGCTCTTTCCTCAGACCTATTTGCAAGTTGAGTCAACTTTATCTGTTCAATGCATCTTATAACAATTTGAGTGGCACAATTCCAGGTTGCTTAGGCAATATCAGTACTCTCGATTTGTTGGACCTTCAAGGAAATCACTTTAGCGGAATCTTACCAAATTTTGCAGAAGCAACCCGACTATGGACACTCAAAGTTAGTGAGAATAGATTGGAAGGGAAGTTGCCGAAGTCACTAGCCAAATGCACTCAACTCGAAGTTTTGGATGTGGGAAACAACATGATGTATGATACATTCCCTTTTTGGTTGGAAAAATTGCCTGCACTGAAGGTTCTGATACTGCAAGGGAATAGATTTTATGGTCAAATTAAACATTCGAAACATGAAAATGGTTTTCTGGCGTTGGATGTACTTGACATTGCGTCTAATGAAATTTCTGGTGAACTATCCATTGATTTCCTTCAAGCTACTCAATTAAGGTCACTCAAAATCGGTGGGAATAAATTGGAAGGGAAGTTGCCAAGATCATTAGCCAATTGCACAAAACTTGAGGTTTTAGACCTTGGAAACAATATGGTTCATGACACATTTCCGGTTTGGTTGGAGAAGTTGCCTTCCTTGAAGGTTCTCATTCTACGAGCAAATAGATTTTATGGTACAATTATGAATTTTGAGAGGGAATGTAGTTTTCCAATGCTACGGATATTGGACATTGCTTACAACAACTTTTCAGGTGACTTATCCACCACATTTTTGCAATGTTTGAGGGCAATGACGTTGATTACTGAGGGCAACAAAGCTAAGCTAGATTATATTGGAGAGGAGTACTATCAAGACTCTGTGACAATTGTCAATAAAGGGATTGAATTGTTTTATAAGAAAATCTTAACCATTTTTACTTGTCTTGACCTTTCCAACAATAGTTTCCATGGGAGAATACCAGAAGAAATACAATTTCTCAAATCACTCAAAAGTGCTAAACTTATCCCAAAATAGCTTCTCTGGCCAAATTCCATTAGCACTTGAGAACCTAAAAGACCTCGAGTCTTTGGACCTCTCGCAGAACAAACTTTCCGGGAAGATTCCTCCTCAACTTACAAGTCTAACTTTCCTGGAAGCACTAAACCTGTCTTACAACCAACTTGAAGGGAGCATACCACAAAGCAACCAATTCAATACATTTTCAAATGATTCTTACAAAGGGAATCTTAGATTATGCGGGCCGCCTTTGTCAAGGAAATGCAATGAAGTTGGTGTTCCGGTGCCCCTTCCAAAGAAAGATGTAGATTCATTGGTAGATGGTATATCTGTTTGGAAAATTGCATTGATCGGTTATGGCAGTGGACTGGTCATTGGTTTATGTATGGGATATACAGTGCTGAATGAGTTCGGAAATATATGGCTAGACAAATTCAAAAAGAAAGGGAAAAGGAACAAGAGAAGCATCAAAATTCATGTTTCAAAATAGCTGGTAAGCATTCCTTTTAGAAACTTGGGAAATCTTTTTAAATTGAAAAGATAGTTGCTGCAAATTATTATATTCTTTAAATTTTGTAACCTTATTTTTTTCTCTCTTGACAAAGTTCAGTATCATATGATATTTGTTCTTGTAGCTGTGATATTCATTTTCAATGAGTCTGTTATAATTTCGTGTTATAATGTCGTAGTGCTGGAGGAACTAGAAACAAGATATGGCATGTAAAAGGAAAAGAAACAGGCATAAGTCCTTGACCATGATGGAGATGGAAATGAAGTGAGAATCGGGTCTCTTTATCATTCTTTGAAGCCAAATCATTTTGCCATTCTTGTCTGGCATGGCTTATTTTGTATAAAAAAAAATCCAGGTATGAATCTCTATTTCCCATGGTAGGTTTTTCCCAAACCTTTTATAGCTCATAATAATTTCCTTTAACATTTTCTTCATTTTAGTACAACCTTATTCCTTGTTTCTCTACTTATACACTCGCACATAGACAAAAGAAAATTGTATTGTTGTAGACTCTAGTGTTATATTAAGCTGATATCAATGTAGAGTCGACCTTGACTAAGAAAAAGAAAATAAAGGCAGTCCAAAGCAACTTTTGACAACTTAAAGGTATGAATGGATCAAAATTTTTTGTGATGGTCTAAATTCGAAAGAATAACATTCTTAAAATGTTATGTGGACTTGATTAATTCATTAATTTTAACTTTTAAGAAAATGATAAAAGCTTCTTATCAATTAAGTTTTTGCAAATGAAAAACTTGATTGTTTCTAGCGAAATGGAGTAACTTCATTCTTATAATTTTCAGGTCAATGGTTTGAGAAGATACAAGGGCCGGCAGGCTGCTGTTTGTTACCTATTCCATGGAAAAGAAAGCATGGATTGCCAGGATGCAGTTATACATTTTTGTAAAGGCTTATGCTACTTATCTGTAACTTATGAGTTATGAAATTGCTGCTTCAGCTGCATCTTATGTGCAGTCACAGGTAAATGACTTTTCCCCCTCCACTTCAAGTCCTTGCATGAGAGGACATAGACAGCGATGTCTAAAATGACTCGTCCTGCAACTAAGGTGTGAATCATCTTCAACAGAAGTTCAAGGCTTGAAATAGGGTCTCTCGCTCCTGCAACTAAATGAGGCTATATTCCCTCTCGCTTTCTCATTTCATTCGGGTTGAGGAGAAGATGATTTAGTGAAGGTAATTTGGTGAAGGGTTAGGGTTTAGTAAATAATTTGAGAAGGAAGAGATTTGGGGTTTTTTTTTTATTCTTCCAATAATTTGAACGATGAGGTTTTTTTTTTTTTTTTTTTTCCTTTTTGCTTGGTATGACTACTATTCAAAGTCAACCTACTTGATTGCAAAGTAATACCCAATTTTTGTAGTGCAATTTTGTTTTAACTTTCTAATTAATGTCTGATTTATTGATTTGGTGATATAACATGGGTTTTGAGACTCCAGCTCCATTGGTTGAGAAGACAAATGTACTAGTGGAGACATCTGTTGGCAAGTCAATCATTGAACATCTTAGGAGTTTTAATTACATCTCTTCTATAATTGCTGGTTTGTATTTGAATTCATTTCATGGCTTGAAACCATGTTTCAATGTTGTGAGCGCCCTAATTCATTAGGATCACATGATTAGTCAAATTCAAAACGGGAGAGAAGATGTATAACTGATTGTAGTTTGTAGGGTCAAAATAATGGAGCAAAGTAATCCGATGAAAGGCATGGTGGATTCTTTCAATGTTTTGGTGGCTGCAGGCATAGTCATGCACCGTGCTGTTTGTGACAGAATAACTCTCCTGGTAATGTTTTCTGCCTAAATTCATGGATATTTTAGTCATGTACTGATTCTGATTGTTCCATCTTATTCTGAATGTATGACAAGGTACCAGTATTTATTGCTGAAATCGCACCAAAGAAACTATAAACCGGGTAACATGTGCCTGTCAAGTACCAGCAGTCATTATCATCATCACAATTTCCTGAAGTTGTGAATTTAATTTTCTGAACAGTCGTTAGTTGTCTGAATGTACAATATAAATGCATAAAGAAGATAGATAACAATGAAACATGCACATAGTTTTATCTGATTATTTCTCATATTATTCTACAGCTTATGATCTGCAGTGGGGTATCTGTTGCCTTCATAATAGGGCAGTTCTAACTTGGAGGGCTTTAGCATTAACAGGTAAAAAGTTTCTTATCCATTTATTCAAAGCACAAGGATTTACAACATTCTTCTGCAAAACCATGTGTACTGTGTGTGTGAGTGTGTTTCTAAAGCTAGATAAGACAAGCTGGGACTCACAAGTGGAGTGATTGCAGGACTTATTTCTTGTTGAATTCTAGTCTTTGGACTCTCTATCATTCCAGAGTCTTCCAGATGGCTGGTATGAAATAGCAGTGAAAAGATAATGGAATCCTTTTTTTACCCTGAGTTATAGTAACATTAAATGGGAATTGGATAAAAATCTTAGATTTAATGCAGGCAAAGATAGGATGCGAAAAAGAATTTAAAGCAAAAGTGACTTGGCTACTTAGGAAGCATAGGTATGGTCACCAAAATCAAGATGGTGACTTGGCTCTGTTGCTGAAAGCAAGCTGAGATCCATTTAGGAAGAATCAAATGATATGTAAGTAAGTGTATCACTAACTGCTTATTCACAAGGTTGGTGGAATTACTGCAGTTGTTTTTGCAAGCACTTACCATTTGGCATTTTGGGCAGATATCATCAGAAGGCACCTACATCATGGACAGCGCCGACCACTGCATTCTTATTCTTTGTGATCTGCTTATTAGTAATGCACATTGTTAAAGTTGAAGATGATTTCCACGAAATGCAAGAACTGAAAGTTCGAGCAGAAGCTGCTGATGTTGCCAAATCGCAGGTATGATTTTCTAGATATATATATATATATATATATGTATGTATATATATATCTATATCAACACATGGTTCACCACCCGTTTCCAAGCTAAAACTAATTATGACTTGGGAGTATTGCATGTGTTCCTGATATCAGTTTCTGGTAACTGTTTCTCATGAAATTAGGACACCCATGAATGGCATCCTTGGTATATTCCAGATCTCCCCTTAAGGTTTTCTCTGTAAAATATACCTGCGAGGACATTAACAGAATTTAATCCGCTAATGTTCTGCTGACTTTTTGAATGTTTGCAGGGATGATTGCTTTGCTTTTAGATATAAATTTAAGTTCAACACAAAAGGATTATGCTCAGACCGCTCAAGATTGTGGAAAGGTGCAGATAACATTGATAAATGAGGTGCTTGACCGAGCAAAAATTGAAGCAGCAAAGTTAGAGCTTGAATCTGTCCCCTTTGACCTTCGATCTATCCTAGATGATGTGCTCTCTTTATTTTCTGAAAAGTCTAGAAGCAAAGGTGGTAAGGTAAGCCCAGATAAGATTAATAAAACCTACTGCTTCATTTTTCAGTATGTTTTTCTATGTTAGATAGTTCCTATAGGTTATAGACTAATGGGGACGCCTATGATCAAAATAGAAAAATCCTTCTGGTTTATAATGCTTGAACTAACTTGGTGCCTTTGTTTTTCCCTTTTCTTTCTCTGTTTCGGTGGGTTGTTAATGTCAATAAATGGTTGTGATCCTGATGCATTACAATGATTGAAATATGGTGTAATTCTTTGGGAAATGAAGCTGGCAGTCTTTGTTTCTGATAAAGTTCCTGAAAGAGTTGTAGGAGATCCAGGGAGATTCAGACAGATCATTACTAATCTTGTTGGGAACTCTGTTAAAGTAAGCTGGTTACCCAACCTTCACTCTTTTTGACATTAATTTAGATAGAATTAGGGGTGTAATTAAGAGTCTTATTTAAAGCACAAGCTCAAATTTAGTTTACTATTGAATTGTCTTTGGTTTGGACTGCATTTTTAGAGATTCAAACTTTAGTTCTGCATCTTGATTACCCGGTTACAGTTTGTAGATTCAATTTGTGATGTCGTTTATTTACTGCAGTATTGCCCGGTGGTTCTTGGTTTGGATCTTTCATTTGAATAGAATGTTTATGGTGATTATCTATATATATGAAGCATTGGTTAATGAGGTGAACTATTGATTATATGTGTGAGGTTCTTTGTTTCCGATTACATAATTTATATTCTGCTTAGATCTTTGGGCAACTGGCTTTTCTTTTCATATTATCAGTATTCTCGTGCTCCTAAATTACTCTTGCAGCGAAGCCTGGACTTGAAATGTAGTTCAAGTAAATCCTTTCAATAATTTATTCCCTAGGTCTTTAATAGATGTTCAAAATATGCAGATTGATTTGATCTATGGGAAGCATTACTTTGAATTCTGATATAGCAACAAATGTATAATTCTTAAATCATTGTAAAAAGTCCAAATGTTTTTCCCCATAAATGCATAATTGTGAAATGAGTGAAGCATGAAGATTCAAAATTAGAACCTAACATGATTCTCCTTTGATATTTCATGCAGTCTGACCCCAAAATTATGGGATATGAGACTTAGTTTGTTGTTGTTTCCGCTCGTATTTAACTGTATCTTGGTTGCAGAGACTGAACTCCCTGTTATCTTGGTTGCAATCCTTTTATTTGATCAAACTACATTCAAGGTAAGGACCAGTCTGGAGTGCTCTATGAATATTGTGAATTAAACCTGAGCTTATGCATGAAGTTGACTAAATATGCAAAAAGTAATTCAAGATCACAATGGTTTATATACAGACAACATGCTTTCCTACTATATAACATATGCATGTATTCAAAATCATACGACAGGTAACAATGTTTTCAAAAACTTCAACCACGGTGCCGAGTGAACTTATAACACAAACTTTCAGGGGATTGGAAGCTAATATCATTTTGAATGTACCATGTTCATGTAGGAAGTACTGGAAGTGCGCTTTTTCATAAAGGAATTGATCTTTAAGTTTCAGAGAGTACTGTTTACAAGCGATTCATTCGAGAAATTATAGATTTGGGAGACTTATGATGAGCATGCTATTCTTCAATTCACTGGCCATTTGGGTTAGTCTGATCTCTAGTAGTGATTTCTCGAATAATGCTATAAACCAGGATGGTTATTTCACTAACTTCTTTTGTTAATGTAGAAAATTTTGAACTATTCCAACAAGTGAGAGTTCATCACTTTCATGGCTTCAAATCCCCACTCCTCGAGGGAATGATTTCAACGCTTTGTACAACACCCAATTCAGATTCCTTGAACTGCCTTGGATCCTGCAGCCTTTGGCTCTGAAGGTAACTTCCTAAGAGATGAAGACTTTACGAGAAAGTTGAATACAATTGATGCGGTTTTAAGGAAACATCAAAATGTTGATTTTCCTGAGAGACGCCAATTATGGACATTGCTTGGTTCATCATCTCCATGCAGGCAGAGCTATGAGAGTGATTCAATTGGACTTTGGAGTCAGCCAATTGAATGTTAATAAATGTACAGAAGAAGCAAATTAAGAAATTGAATTGAGGTTTTCCTTTCATTTTCACGTCCCTTTTTCCTTTTATTCATTCATTTTGTCTAAATCTGATTCCAACTGTCAATCCATTACGTAGAAAGCTTAACAATTGGATTTCAATAATTTTCTCGCTTCTCTTTTATTTTACATTTTTTGTTTTAGTTTCCTGAAATTTTCACCCTTCTCCATCTTTTCCTCTGCAAATAAAACTCATCTCACCAAGATTCCAGTCCTCAAATATCTCCCAAGAATCAAAATGACAAAAACCCATCTTAACCCTGAAAGTCTTAATGCCTGAAACCCATAGTTCTCAAATTTGAGCAAAAAAAAAAAAAAAACCCTAAAAATCAGAATGAATATAGCAAGGCACTTGCTTGCAGCAACAATAATTTCAAGCATGACCTCCAAAAAATACTTATAAAAAATGTTACGTATATGATTGCAGCAACAGTTATCTCAAAAAACTCATCACTGCATAATCTAAAATTTTCCCAACATCTGACAGGGAATGCATGTCCTTTAATTAAAATGGTATACAGAGAAGTGAATCTTCCAACTACAACACTAAACAAATTAAGAAATAAAAATGTTCATGGCTGCAGGCGTTGAAGCAAAACATCAATGAATGAAACACATTTGGTTAGTTTATATTCGAATGAAAAGTAAAGTTGTAAACCAGGGTAATGACATAATACAGATATGTGTTACCAAAAAGTAGATAATGTAAAGTGAAAATATGTCCTTTTCTTTTATCTTTTAGGCTAAACTCCAAACCCTCAATTTTAGATCTTACTACAATTTAATCAATTTTTATCTACTGTATTATCATGTTTAACTTTTTCATCAACTTCTCTTAATTTAAAATTTTGAATGACTATAAATTAAAAAATTAAATTTGATAATTTTAAACATGATATAATAATACAATACAAAAAAAACATAAAAACAACATAAAGCAAAAATCATATATAGATTCGACAAAAAAAAATGTTTCATGTTTAATATATTAATACGAATTATAATATTATAATTTTCGTATTTTATATATATTTAACAAAAAATAGACAAACACGAATACATAAATTACTAGATTTATTATAAATACTATTATTTATCTAGTGCAATACTGTTTTTAAAGTGGTTCCAAAATTGGAATGTTTGCTATTTCCCATGTAGTTAACCACTACTGTTGATTTTGATAAATTTGACTTTGTTGCTATTGATTGATTGATTTCTATCGTGATTTTTTTTTAATTAGGGAAACTTATGAAGAAGATTTAGGAATTTAGAAAACTAATAGTAATTCCTAGTATTAACAATTTTTGCATTCTTCCATGATTATTAAATTTATATGGCACATATCCACATAAATCTGATTGGCAGTTTGTATTGTTATGTCCACCTTTCAGGTCTTTAGCCACTCATTTTGCCTTCAACTTGAGGAAGAGGTCAACCTAGTCATTTTTCAGTCTTTGTTCGGAGTCTTACATCAAGAAGGATTGTATACCTGAAGCAACCTTTAGACTTGAGAAATTGCTCCAGTCCAAACATCCCGAGATAAGCCAGAGTATCACTGATGCAGCGAAGAAGCTCAGATGTTTAAAATGAGACACAGCTTGAGTGCAAGCTTTCGCAGATTTGGAGCATTTAAAATTGAAACAGGACGATTGAAGATTGCACTGCATACCGAGAAAGGACCGAGTGGATTTTTGCTGTTTTCTTTAGAGAGTATGTATACTGCATCTCCAGTTAGGTTGTGCTCGACTTCTAACATTTTCCATCATGCATCGTTTTGCATTCATTTAAGATGCATACATTTAAGTGTTATGGTTAGATGCTCGAATTCGAAATACTGACTCTTCAATGTGTAATAGTATTTAACCTGTAAATCATGCCATTGTTGAGTATGAGTTTTGGCAGCCTTTCCATTTGGTCAACTTAGTTGATCCACTGAGACGATTGCCCTGTTCTGTTTATAAATTTCATTCTAAGCGGTATGGAAATGCTTTTTCTTCCTTTACTCTTTGAATAGTTGTTAGTTTTCAACACTCCCTAGAACCAGCCAGAGTGCCACGATCATGGCATAGAATCGGGAATCTCATATTAGTCATATACTAGAGTTTATATTGGGATATAAAGATTTACATATTTTTTTCATTGTGAGACATTTTTAGTGAGATAAAATCATGAGAGTAGAGAAATTAAAGCAGATAATATTTTACAAAAGTATGAACTATAACAGATAAACTAATTTGATACGTCAAATAAGTATATGTCCGAGTCTTAAACTCGCGGGGCTTAAAAGTTGAGTTTCGATCCGTAACAAATAGTATTAGAGCCAGTTCTAGTTGTACAAGCGATGTGTCACCGAAGACGGTGGACCTCAGTAACGTGCCACCAAAGACGATAGGCCTCCATTAAAGTGAGAGAAAATGTCACAGTCTTGAAGTAGAATCAAGAATCCCACATCGATTGTGTACTAAAATTGATCTTGAAATATAACGGTTCACATATTGAAACCCTTTTTGTGGGATAAAATCGTGAGATCAAAAAGATTAGAACGAACAATATTTCATAAAAGTGTGAACCATGACAAGTAGATCAATATTAAATATCGGATGAATGCATGCTTAGATTCTAAAACAATGCGGGCTTAGACATTGAGTTTCGGCCAATGACACAAAGCTTAGGGCTTGGTTCAAACCCATAAAGGGTAGATCCAGTTGTTCAGCTATTTGTAATCAAAACCAGAAAAAAATTTATATTTAGATAATAACTTAAAATAATACCCCGTAAATGATATAAAAAATAACAAATAATAGATGAAAATGATATGAAAAAAAATACGAAAAAAATATAATTTAATTTTAATAAAAATTAAACATGAATTTAATAAAAATAAAAAATAAATTATAATGATATGTAATTTTTGGATTAAATATGAGATAAATATACAAATTATTAATACTGTCTATAATAAAAATATATGAATTGTAAAGTCTAATTTGAGTGATAGCAACATTTTGATGATTGAATTGCTTTAAAATATTTTCATGATAGCAACAGACAATAGCTATTGGAATTTAAAAGTCTCACAATTCTAACTAAATAAATGTTACTTCTATTTTAAACATAATTTAGACTAATTCATTGATCAAAGTGAAAGTAATCTGAGCTTAATTCAACTGATAAAATAAAAAATGTGAGAAAAATTAAACAAAATTTAATAAATGATGGTATTGTGCACTTGTAAATTCTTAATTTTTCCATTTCTTGCTTTTATATATTTATTAATGAATTTTTCATCAACTTATAAAGTTCCTAAATTTTTTATATTATTTTCAATTGGGAAAAGAAGATTAAATTATAATTTTTAAGACAATATATGCATTTGTTGTTAGGTTAAAATAATAAAAAACTCTAAATTTTATCATTTTATTTTAATTAGATAAACTCTTATATTTTATTATATTTAAATAAACTTTTAAATTTTAATTTGTACTAAATAAATCATTAACCTTTAATTTTTATATAAATAAATTTTTAACTTTTAATTTATATCTAAATAAGTCATTTATACAAATCAATATTTAGATAAATTATTTAATTTAAAATAAAGAATTATTTAGATAAATTAAAAATAAAAATTTATTTGAATATAATGAAAATATAAAATTTATTTTAAAAATTAAAATAATTCATGTGTTTTTTTAATATTTTAACCAAAATCAAAAGGGATACTTTGATTTTCCTTTTTTGCAACTTTTTTACCTAAAAAGTTGAAAATAATACTTTTTTATTTTTATTTTCTCATGAACAATTTAGTATTGTCGAGATGTAAACAGGGCCTACTTGTAGATTCCAAAGTGGGCCCAACCCCAGCATTTCCTGCCGAAACAAATAAATATCCTCAACTTTCCCCTTTCAATTTTAACATATTTCCTCCTCTGCCACCGACTCAACAACTCGACCAACCTTCAAACAGGCAGGAGATTTGATTCATTTAAACACACAAAAACAACGGCAGAGCCCATGGAGATTTCTTCTTTATCGCAATCTCTCAATCTTTGCAGGTCTTTTTCTCTCTTTTTAATACCGTTAAGTAAGTTGCTACTTGCTGTACATAATCTTCTTCTTCATCTTTTTTTGAATTTTAATTTTTTTCTCTTGTTTTTAGCCGAATAAATGAGATCTCGGAGATTCATAGTAGCAATAAAAATGAGGTTGAGAGTGAAGCTCTCTCTTCGGATTCCAAGAAGTTGCTCAAAGATTGCACTTCTCATTTCGAGGTGATTCTCAATATTACTTTCTAATATTTTGTTTAATTTTTTTTTTTTGAATTAAGACTTAAGAGTGGGTTTATGCAGAGTAAAGTGAAGCAAATTGTTGAAGAGTATTCTGACTTGGGTTTCTTAGGAATTGAAGATTTAAGTATGTTTCCTTTAATATTTTAGATTTTTTTGGTTAATTTTTATTAACATCAATTACATATATACATGTACAATTGAACTTAAAGAGGGTATTGTATTAAGTAACTGCCTCTTTTGCTTGTTTTAGTCTTTAATCGGATTGTATGTTATGGTTACTGAGTTTTAGAAACAAAGTTGGATTTCTTTTTCTTTTTGGGGAAAAATCTCTGGGTTTTGTGGAATATGGAGTCTAAAAGGGTTTTTAGATAATGATAAGGTTTCTGATACGGAAGGGAATTTGATAGTTTAGGATCCATTCAAAGTTTTTGATGTTCTTTCGGATAACATGTTTACGGTGTTATTCTTCTAATTGTGATTGCCTGAAATGTAAGTATTTTATAAAGTGACTCATCATAGGAAACTAAAAGATGAATATCTAGCACACTTGAATGCCTAGCACATCATAGGAAAACATCTGTATGCCTGCAATGCGATGTTGTGCTGATTCTGGATTGGTGTTTTTTTAATTATTCATACAGATAAATACTTAGCACACTTGAAAGAGGCGCTTAATCAAGTAGAGGCTGAAAGTACCCAGATTTCTAAGGAAATTGAGGATCTTTCAAGAAATCATATTGAAGGTGAGGCTTCATTGGCTTAGGTTTGATTTTCACATGTAATTACTCTTAAATGCTTTTTCTTCTGCTGATTTACGTTTGACTTCTATTTTTACAGAAACAAATATACTGGAAGGCAATCTTGACGGCTTGAAGTGTGCATTGGATTCTATTGCATCTCAGGTTGGTTCTCCTATGTTATTTCATTTTGTGAAGCAATCTTAATGGCTTGAAAGGTATTCAGTTTGAAATCAATTTGGAAGTCAAATTTAACAGTTAGCCTTTTTACATTTTTGTTTTAGGGTCTGGAGACAGTAGAGAGGACCCCTGCTATAAAAATCAATTGAATTTGGTGGATGCAAATGAAGAGAAAAAGTTTGAGGTGCTTTTGTTTCTTCTCACTTGCTTCTTGAATACTGCATTAGATTCTAGCTGATGGCTGAACTTTAATAATTGTGCCATAGGTTTTTGGCTCTATAATCATGTTTATAAGAGTCTCTTTTCTTTGATGACTAAGTTCTAGCTCTTTTATAATGATCCAGATATTTGATATATTCAATTAGGATATTAATTATGTATATCTGCTAATAATGTATGTTAAATTCTTTGAGTTGTAAGTGGCATTACATATTTTATTTCATTAAACATCCAATATTCTTCTATTTATGCTTTTCAGATTTTGGAACTAGAAAGTCAGATTGAGAAGAGCAATTTAATTTTTTAGTCTTTGCAAGATCTTGATTCTATGTTTAAAAGATTGTTCACTTATTTTTGCTTTGGTTATATGTGTTCTATATCAGTATCTTTTTGCTTACTACGTTCTTTTCTTTTTCTTTTATTTTCAGATTAGATACCCTAGACCAGATTGAAGATGCATTGACTGGTTTGGAAAGTCATTGGGTTTGATGGAAACTGCATTAGGTTGTCATTACAGATTTATATTCCAAAAGTAGAGGTTGAATTGTTCCAAAAGATGATTGAAGATATTGCTGAGCCATCTGAAATGAATTATGAATTGCTAGTAGAGATTATGGATGGAACCACGGAGGTTAAGAACGTTGAGGTATGACTAAATGTTTTTTCGTGAAAAACCTGAAATAATCTGTTGTTCTTTTCTTTATCTCTGTTCTCATAAAGAAAGAAATTAAACTTTTGATATTCAATGGAGAAATAATCATACTTGACAAATAACTAATCTCACTGATGAAATAATGTGAAGACAACTGAAAAGGAAAAAATTGGTTTTAAGAATGCCAAAAAATTCAGTTTCTTTCCCATTTGATGCAATCAAACTGGAAAAAGAAAAAAACAATTTGGTGTCAAAACCATTTTCACAAAAGTTACTATCATATATTTCTTTTTGGATGATAATTTTTTCATTCATTAGTCTCATGCCATGTCTTTTTTTTTGGCTCAAGTTAAACAGGCATTAGAAAACCTGTACTTGCTTGCAAAAGAAGAATCATATTTGTTCTTCATGTCTTTTTGTTCAATTGTTTTGAAATGCTTGTTCATGTATCATGTTGTCCAGATGTTCGCAAATGATGTTTACATAGGTGATATAATTGATGCGGCAAAGTCTTTAATGTTTGGTTTTTCAGTTTTTCTGACTTCAAGGTTGAATCCCAATTTATCATGTGTATTTTTGCATATGTGTATATGTATAGTAGCATAAGGCCTTTAAAGGGAATATAATTTGTTAGTTTTTATATAGAACAATAGATTGAATCCTAAATGTGATTTCTTGCAAAAGAAGAAGTCCTCTGAAGGACTATCCCCTTTCTTCTTTCAATTTTTAATGTCTTAGGCGCTTCCAAACCTAAAATTACCTGCGTCTCTTTCTCAACCTTGCTGCTATCCACCCTATTATAAAACCTTTCAATCCTCTTTTATACATCAACTTATCCATCATTTAGAGGGTATTATTCAAATTATGGGTTCCCATCGATATTAATTCATCTCTCAGAAACCAAAGTTCTTCATTCAGACTTTCAGTCTAAGTTTTTATTGAAAGGTAGGTTTTTTTTACTAGAACAGAAACCTGTTTGTCCTTCTTTTGGCTCATTTGAACCTTTAACTTCCTATCTTCTTTCTCTTCAGTAGCAGATCCTGTTTTCCCAGGCTGTCACCTTTAAGTATAAGCTTCAATTATCCTTGTTGTTTTTGTGTTAAAAGTACTGTTCATAGTATGTAGTTTTTGTCACCTTTTACTGAGATGTTTGCAGTCATTGTTCTATATACATTTATTATTTATATAACGCACATTTTTCTTGAAACTTAATCAACCCACCATGTAGAGATGGCTAGTAGGCTTAATTAAACCTGCAGTTGTCATGAATAATTTTTTTTTTATCCAGTTTAACGAAGGTAGACCTTGATTGAATTCCTTATTTAAGGTATATAATCTACTATAATGTTGCAGGCAGCTATCCTCTAACTTAATGGCACAGAAGACATGGTCTTCACTGGAGTGGCTTGTGCGGAAAAAGTGCAGGAGTAGGATTATCTTAAGTACTTTCAGACGATTTATAGTGAAGAGTACAAATAAATCAAGGTAAGACTCATATAGGTAAAGTCTTCACAGTGATGATATAATATTTTCAAAGGTTTAAAGTAGCTGGCAATTGTGCACTTCATTTCCTTTGTCATATAAAATATTTTAATTTCTGTTCACCCACCAAAAATGGGGGAAAGTTGAAAGAAATTGCAAAAGGAGAAGCTTTTTACATTTGAATAGTGCCTAGTGTAGGCATTCCTTTGAGTACTAAGAGAGAGATGACACCATCATAGCTCACATGGTCGGGGCCATTGATGCATTTATTGAGGTGTCTCAAGGTTGGCCGCTATCAAAATCTGCATTGAAATTGTTATCTGTCAAGAGCTCAGATCATCATTCAAGGGGAATTTCATCTACAAGATACAAATGGGCAACATCTATGGAGAAATGCTGGCTATCGTTCTGTTGATACTCAGTTGCTTTCTTTTTTCTTAATGATCATTATTTTTATTTTTTAATTTATAATGAATTTTTATAAATGTAAGATTTTGATATTCGGAGTATTTATTAAATGAAATAATCATTTCATCAATCTCTTAGACTTCTCTTTTTGTTTGATGACAATTAACTTTTATTTTTCCTTTTATAAACGCATGTAGCAATATTTCTAATTTGTTGAGGTTTATGGTTAATACTATGTGAAGCTAATAAATTTTTATTTTAAAATATTAAATGGAAATAAAATTAATAACAAAAATCGATAAACTTATAGCACTTGTTGGATATAATCTATATATACAAAAACTCAATAAACATTGACAAAAAATTTATTAGATGTTTGGCCAAACTTATGGAAGAGATTATTTAATGTAAAAATAGTGTTTGACTTTCAAAATTTTAGGTTAAAAATAAAAATGTCTTTAAATTATAATGAAAAAATTGTTTAAAATTTTAATATTTTATTGCAATCAATTGTGTTCTTAGTCTTTTATTTTGACTTAATTTAATCCATATTTAGATGAAATTTAATCACACTATAAAATTGAACCAATCAATCTTTGAATTACAATCAATTGAATCCTTATAGGAATCTTAGACAAAGAGGAGAAGAGAAAATAAATAAGAAAAAGAAAAAGGAAAAAGAAAATTCTCAGATTGTAAACCATTCCTCAATCCCCTAAACATTTATCTTCTCCATGCATACATGTACTTATGATCAAAAAATTTCATTTAACAAAAAAAAAAAGAATGATAAAAAAGCTCCAATTTAAAATTTTTATCACCATAATATAATAGAGTTTAGCATATATATTAATTATAATTACATGAAAATCAACAAATGTAAACCTTTTTAAAATTAAATCACATACCTTAACAAAAAATATATATATATATTTTTTGAAAAGATCCATTGTTTATTCTTATAAATCATATAAATCATTGTAAAAAGAAAGTAAAAAAAAGGAAATTTAAGGGAGGAAAGAGAGTTTTGAAAAAGAAATATGAATGAAAACTTTTAGATAAAAAATTTGGAGAAATCTTGAATGGAAGGAGTAAAGAAAAGAGTTTTTGATAGAATAGAATAGCCAAAATCTATTATGTTTTCAATTCTACATCAAGTATATTAAAATATAAATAATTGAACGTGTTTTTATCCATTTATTTAAATGGATGTTTTTATCTGCTTATTTAACTAGAGATTTATAAAATGTATTAAGATGGATATTCTTAAGTTCTTAAACCAAAATTTTTAAATAGTAATTCATGTATGCTTTTATCAATTTAAACAAATTTGAATATTTTAAATGGTAATATTAAATAAAGTAAATAATCACATATCTTTTTATCTGTTTTCAAATTAATATTTGAATATTTATTATTTTATGATTTAGTTTAAAAGTTTTTGTATTTGATTATTTTGATAATATAAATTACGATTATTTATTATTATCCTATGTGTCATCCAGAAAAATTATCAACTTAAATGTCCACGTAAGTAAATCTTAGTAGGTTTGTATGTATATTGTAATATAATATTATATATGATCGTAATATATTTTATATTTATATAAATATTTATCAATTTTTAAAATTTAACTTTAGTACTATTTACATCTTTATTTTAAATTTATTAAGCTCATTGACGATTATGTAAAAAATGAAATTCATTATTATATTCAAATTTACAAAAAAATTTAAATTTTATAAAATTCCAAAATGATCCAAAACTCATCCAAATCTCTCCGAACTTAAGATTGAACAAAAATTTAAATCTTATACGGTCAAATCTGAAATTATTCAAACTAAAAAATCCAAATTTGAAAGTGTTTGGATTTAAGATAATCAATATCTGAAATAAAATCAAATCCCAACTTATCTGAATACAAAAAATCCAATGTAATCCTACCTAAATTCGTCCATTTGCCACTTCTAGATTAATAAACTTTGAGAAGAAAAATTTTTAGAATTAGAATTAGTTTTTTCGAAGAATAAAAAAGTCGACAATATATATTATAGTTTATAAGACATCTTGAATATATCCATTAGCATGTCTCTGCCTCATTAATTCATCTTAATTTCAGTTGAATTAGATATGTTTTTCTTCAAGATGTTGTTCCAAAATTGTGTTGAAAGTTAAGAATTCCATAATGGCAATTGCTTTCTCATCTCTTATTCTTTCCATATCATGTCCATCAATTGATTTAAATATAAAACTAATTTTAATTGAATTATATCTTTGATAGCAACTGTTTTTTTTTTAAATTTTTTTGGGACTTATTCCAAAATTATGAAATCAAAAGCATCAAAGAACATGGAAGATTGGAGAGTTTGTACGTAGCATATCAAAGTTCATAATTGAACAAAAAAAAAAAAACAAAATGGGTTCCTTTGTTATTGCTATGTTTTCCCATTAAATGACATGACTAAGACAAAACATTGTCAATTTGGTATAATAAAAAAAATTTCTCAAATTATAAGAAAATTCTCTAATTTTTTTTTATCGTTTCAATTGGTTCAAGGACTTTGATAAAAGGCAATTTTTAAATCCTCAAGGTTTTTATTTCTGCCATGTCAATTGGTTCAAAGACTTTGAAAACATAAACAATTTTCAAATTCTCAAGCTTTTCCTTCATCCTATTATTTTCAAAATTTGGAAATTTAGTTACCTATAATAACTTAGTCAACAAGTTATTTATAAAAAAAAAACTTAGTCAACAAGTTAAATTAATTACTACCATCAACATCTACGCTCTTTCAATGTGCTTTCTCAAATCTTATAAACTTCCACGAAGTGATTTGTGGTTGTGGTTGAGTCATATG